ACAACAAAAACACTCAAATACCTTACCTGACGTCACCATCTTAACATATTGGAAGTATAAATCTTCATAACTTAGAGATGCATCACTCAAGTCAAGAACATTTTTTTATTATATTGTTTATTATGCAGAATCGGTACTGAAAGTATTGTTGAAGGGTTCATTTGCACTTTAAGCTTACTTAAGCTATAAGATTAGTCGAAATAGCCCAGTTAAGCCCAATAAGTACTTCTTAAAACTTACGAAAGCAATAATACCAAACATATACCGTATATATTATAGGATAAACACAGGTTTATAAAATATTTGAAAACCAGACATATTCAGAGCTATCAATTCAGCTATAATAGAAAAGGATCCCAATTATTTTTTGCTGACCATTCTTTGCCTTATGAACAAGCTGTGACATTATAGTGACATACTGTAAATAGTGTTATAGTGACCACTCACATCACTTTCTTGGAGCTTTGTTCCCAATAAAGTCTGCTTTATTTCAGTATTCAACTAATTTTTATATAACGACTCGTGTCTTTATACAAAAAGAATACTTTAATGAGGATGACTTATCAGAAATAAAGCTACATCCAAGTTTATTTGAAAACTTCAATTCTCATAAAGGCCAGTCTCCTAAATATGAACATTTGACAACCTGCAAAATCTCTTTTGCTCGCTCTGTCTATTGCAGAAATACTCATGCTAGACACATCAACAATTGCACAGTGTATCACCCCTCCAACAACTTTTCTCACAATTTTAACCCAGGACTACTATAAAGGCCAAATCAGGCCATTACAAAGTCTGCTGAGTTTCCTGAGCTGGCCAAAACAGGCTGAAAATTATCATTATTTTTCATCAGCCTGTTTCCACCAAAGACAATACCCTACTGTAACCTATGTTCAGTTGTCATACTTGAGGTATTATTCAATCAAAATCCAGAAACTTCACATAAATGAGTTTGAGCACAATTTTTGGTCAACTTTCAGAATAGCTCTAGGAACACAGGCAGAATATAACGAGGTTGGACCTTAGTAGTCAAAGGGTTAAGGCATATTTTTCAAGAATGTATGCGCACATTTCTCATTCTTTTCCAAGAAGCCAGAATATGTTAAAAGTTGCTGAATCACCAACCAGTTGGCTCAGTTGGTTGAGCATCAGACTTTAGTGCGAGAGGTTGTGGTTCAAGTCT